ATTGGTGCCCTGTAGAACATTAACATGATACATGTATCCACTCCATGAACCCTGAGCCGACGCAGAAAATGCAGGCGCTGGCTTATCTTTGAGCATACCTGATCCACCTGATGGGCCCAGCCTAACTGAGCATCAAAATAAATCCCCAAATATTTAAAACGTGTAACCTGCTCAACTCCCTCCCTGTTGATAAGGACGGGGCTGTGATCACCTACTGACTTGGGGTCAAAGATCATTTCCTTTGTTTTTTTAACATTTAACATCAGGTTGTGTGCCTCACACCACTTCACGACCTCTTCAATCTCAAGTTTATATATAGAAATGTCTGAGTCTCTAGTCAGTAGACTAAGTATGGCTGTGTCATCAGAAAACTTTATAATGTGGTTGTGTGTGTGCTGACTCCTACACCCATTTACAAAATGGATATTCCTGTGGAAATAGCTCTACTCACTGGAAAGGAACAAGTATAAGGCTCAGTTACTCGCACAGCAGTCCATTTTTATCAGGCCAAACACCCAGGGTCCGGCTGCTATGATAGCATTTGTTTGCACCAGTCAAGTTTGCTAAACACAAGAAAACTTTCAAACAAAGTCATGTATTTTCATTTTCTAAAAATACACCCTAGTGAATTCAAGAATATAACAAATATATGTACTGCTTAAAGGGTGCAGTTATCATATATTACATGGTACAAGGCAATGTAAGAGAACAGCTCAAGATGGACATTTTCTCTCCAGCTTGATTTATCAACTGATATAGTGGATTTTTTGGAGGCAAAGAAAATCATCCTTACTGAACTGACAGTCCCTTGGGAAGTCAGGTGTGAAGAGGCCTCGGAAAGAAAAGCCAACAAGTATCAGGACCTGGTCCATGAGAGCAGGGACAGAGGGACCTGGCTATACCAGGTAAGGTCGGCTGCAGGGGTATCCAGGGCAACTGTGTGGAAGATGCTCACAACTCTGGGAATAGCAAGTAGGAATACAAAGAAGCTGCCTGTATAGTAGGTTGGGGGAGGCAGCAGAAAGAGCCTCTTGCTGGGAGGAGGTGTGCTGGAAGGGGGGGCACTGACTGGTGGCAATCACTGCAGACCCCCAACAGGAGGACGCTGTGGTTGAAACGTCTGATGAGTTAAATGCCATCTGACAACATATTCTCCTGTCCCAAAGCCAAAGTCATAAATACATGACTGAAGGAGCTAGTTGGTGTATCTAACAATGAAGTGCTAATCACCATTCTACCTTTCTTTTTTTATATATATATTTGTATTGAAGACACATAGAAAATACATTTGGTACATTGACAGGGACCTCAGTTCTCAATTTTCACTTGAAGGCATACAGTATTTAAGCCACCTTCATAACTCCAACAGACCAAAATATAAGGGAGTAGTGTACCGACTAACAGAACTACACAAGATAATAATAATAATAATAATAAAATCAAAATAATAATACAAAGACAAAAACTTAATATAAATACATAATAAAGAGGAAAAAGGTGGGGGGGGGGTGTCCATCAATCAGTAGACAAAAATGCGAGAGATTGGAAGAAGGTTAAGAAGGGTTGCCACTTAGTGTAAAACATAGAGGTTCTGCCTCTTAAGGAATATTTAATTTTTTCCAACTTTAGAAAATACATGACATCGCTGCGCCACTTAGCATTGGATTAAGCTTTTTTGGATTTCCAGTGAAGAAGAAGAAGTCGTCTTGCCAATAGAAGTAAATGCCAGAATATCCAATTGCCCCGAGTTGTATCTGTTGTAATCTTCTGGGCACCCAAATATGGCAATATGGGGACAGACTTTCACAGTGAGTGAGAGTATTTTTGAGATATCCTCAAAAAAAAACACTAATGGGCAGGAGAAGAACATATGAGACTGGTTGCAGGGAGAGGCTTGACATTTGTCACAGATGTCAATAACAGTGGGATATATTTGTGACAATCGTGCCTTTGAGAAATGAACCCTGTACAGCACCTTGAACTGTATGAGAGTGAGACGAGCACAGGATGAACTCGTATGAATCCTGTTAAGAGCAGTGTCCCACCAGTGATCACCCAAGCTCACAGCTAGCTCAGCCTCCCAGGCAGCCTTGATTTTAGTTGTGTGTGAGCTGTCATCGGTCAGGAGTTTGTTATATATTTTTGAAATAAGTGACTTTTGAAGGGGATCGGAACAAAGAAACTCATCCCATATTTGATTAGGGGGTAGAGAGGGAAAGGATGGAAACAGGTGTTGAGATCTTCATATGAAGTGAATACTTAAAACGAAAGTTAATTGAGATCATGGTATGAAGTGAATACTTAAAAACGAAAGTTAATTATAAATCATACATGATCAATCATATTCTTGTATAAACCCATAATGAGAATGCTTCTTGACGGTTTTTGAATATGTATCTATGCTTACAATTTTTTCTGTTGCTATTTGAGAACTTTGCGTTTTGAAAAGAGGGTGTTGAGAGTTTTTCATAATATGTTTAATACTTAAAAACGAAAGTTAGTTATAATCAAATATAATCAATTATATTCTTGTATAACCCACAATGAAAATGCTTCATATTTTAGGTTTTCTATAGTTACAGTATAAACAAAACCAAGTGGGTTGTTTAGGTTGAGTTTTCTTCCTCTCCTCTGGCAGCAGTCCAGAGAGAGGGGGGGGGGGGGGGGCTTCACACTAAGGGGAGAAACATTAAGAGGCCAAAGAGAGTTCATGTCCTTTTTACCTCATATGAAAGGGTGTCTTATCCCATAATAGCTGTGGAACATGTTGGGACATGTTCAGCCTTGTACATTATGCGCATGCGCGGTTTTCAACTGAATTGGGTGTAAGAGGAGGAGTTTGTTTTTTTGGGTTTAGGATCCAGTTTTTTTAGCATAAAGAGACTGGTTTTTTGAGAGAGCGCAAGAGAGGGGGGGTGACCCCTGGTAGACTCTCTCCGGGTAGGCTGTGTGCTTCAGAGCTGGGTTAATAGCTCTCGGTAAGGTCTTTCTAGACGGGGTAAATATCTCTCGAATTTATTGGTTGTTGGCTGAGTGGAATGATTTGATGAGAGAAAGTGTGTGAACCTTTATAAATACCGCGACCTGTGGGGAAAAATCTGGTCCCCCGAATTTTGCGGACAGGAATGGGTTTTTGAGTGTTAATCCGCCGTCTGTGTCGGAAAAAGTGTATGAACCTTTATAAATCCCGCGACCTGTGGGGCAAATCTGGTCCCCCGAATTTTGCGGACAGGAATGGGTTTTTGAGTGTTAATCCGCCGTCTGTGTCGGAAAAAGTGTATGAAACTGATGTGAATAAATGGGTGAATGAAAAGTTGAATGCGCTTTTTATTGTCACCGGTCTTTTTACGAGGAAATACCTCTAAATTCTATCGGGAGAATTTTAAAATGTCACAACTGAAATGGGCAGTTGAAATTAAAACATTTTGGTAATAAATGTAAGACTGTGAATTAAAGTTTCATTTGAACATGATCACAGCACGGTTTTTTGTTAGGATGATTATAATGTTGTGAGAGAGAAGGTAAAAACCCTGTATTAGTTTGGACCTATTTTTCTTCAAATAAACTGAATCCCACCTGTTGGATTGGGATCCTTTAAAAGACACCTGTGCTCTCCTCTCCTGCGTCAAAGGTAAGATTGCACCCTGCCACACACACTTAGGTAGGAGCACACTCCATTTACTGATATCAAAATCCTTCGGGATCGCTTAAACAGATTAAAAGAGAGTTGTCTGAATTGAAACAGCAGTTAATTGAACCTGGTTCTTCGGGGGGGTTAGGAAGAGGTGAGATCTTGCTGACGTTGGTGGATCTGAGCCACGCAGCAAACTTACATAGACTCAATAATCTTCGGAAAGGTCAATTAGGAGGTCAGAATAATTTACCGGAATAAATTATCAGGACCTCTCATACTCTAAACATGGCGCCCAACGTGGGGCTCTGTGAAAAGTAATACTTTTACAGAGTCAAAATACAAGAACCAAAACGACCTAGTGAAAAAAGTCGATGAATACAAATCAGCGAAATACAGGCTGAAAGTCTTGTTAAAATACCTACCCCAAATCCTAGAATATATATAATTAAACCTGAAAGTGTAGTAATTTAAGTTAATACTATTGCACCGGACTGAGGGTTATATTATATCGGATATAGCTGTCTGATTAAAGAAGCTAAAGAAGGTTCGTTTTCCCCTAGTCAAATTGAGAAGCCTGTGGTCCCTTTAACACAGGTTTAGGTGGCTAAAGTGAAGTCAGCCGTAGGAGCACTGCTCAGTACTTGTCCAATTACTTTGAAACTTATAGGTAGGACTTGACCAAGAGCTGCGGTTTGAACTTTTGCGTTAAAACATAACGTGGGGAAGAGTTAATAGGAGATTTAATAAAGATAAACATAGGTCTAAAGGTACCTATGCTGTTTAAAAAATTCGAAGCTCGGTAAATAAAACTCTTAGCTGAGGTACCCGCATGTACTAACTGAATCCAGAAAGAGAACTTAGAACCAAGTGACAGTATAGTCGGACTGTACACCCGTCGAGAGTAAAGCCTAGGAACTTGCATGTGTATAAAAGAGTGAACTTGAACCCTTTAAATACATTTTTGTTGTTTAAAAAACCAAACAAACAAAAATAAATAAATGGCGGATGAGGATAGAACACAGTTTAATGACTCAGAGCCAACCACAGATGGGGAGGGATACACAGAAGGAAAATCCGGAGCTTCTGCCCGCCCTGGTCAGCTTAGCCCAGACCCACGGGCGTACCGCGACCAAAATACTTTCCTGTCAGACTACACTCAAAAAAATGATTCAAGCCCTTCTTAGACTTGACACATTAAAAATGGTTTCACTTTACTTAAATATTTTTATTTAAGAAATAAACCTAAGTATAGTTCATTAGTGTAACACAAATTACATTAATCAATTCACTTATTAAATGTATTTAAGACAGAGCAACTCAAAATGAATTGTTTTCATTGGGGACCGCCCCTTTGCACAGCCCCTTTGCGTATGCGCAACATCCGTTCTGTCATTTGCCGCCTTTTGTCTAACACTGACTGTGGAAACTGACTGGGGAAACTGACGGTGGAAAGTCTATTATTTGGTAAGTATTTGTTTTTTCTAGTAGTTTAGAATGTTCCCTGTTTCCAAGTAATGCCTTTTCATAATATCGACAAGAATATTTGAAACCACCGTGTTATATTTTGCTCCGTTTTTAGTTGGGTCTAAACAGCAAGCTAGCTAGCTTGCTAGATATGGTTAGCATTGAATACTGGATAGTAGAGATCATTAGATTATATTACATTAGATTTAACGTTATTGTCATTGAACACAGTACACCGAAATTCAGTTTAAGTTCAACCAAAAAATGCAACGAGTAATTAAAGTGCATGAGGTAAAGCGGCAAGCTAGCTAGCCAGATAACTGGTTTGTTAGCTAGCTTGCTAGATACGGTTAGCATTGGATACTGGATAATGGAGATCATTAGATTATATTACATTCGATTTAACGTTATTGTCATTGAACACAGTACACCGAAATTCAGTTTAAATTCAACCAAAAAATGCAAAGAGTAATTCAAGTGAATGAGGTAACAGTATAGGAGGCAGAGCCTGCATGCAAGGGCTGCCATTTTCTATCATAAAGCTCAGCAGGTGTGTCCATCTCTCTCCTGGCCTTAGTGCAGGCAGGCAGAGGAGGACAGGCGGAGCCACTCGTTTCTGTAGGAGTTCAGTTGAGTTTAGTTTTTTACTGCCAAATATTTAATATAAATAATGAGATAATATATATGTGAATCTTGTATGGGTTACTTCACTCACAAGCAGGCACCCAGAGTTGTGCAGAAACGTTTTTTGGGTTGTGCAATCTTAGGCAATTATGTGTTTTCTGTGAAAATTCAAATATATAAGCATTTTAATCACACCTCTAAAATATATTTGTTGTCTTTTGCAGTTTGATCAGCATTAACAAGCACCTTGGGGAAACCTCTTATTTATGGTAAGTACACGGCTACTTTCACAATACTTGCACAGCTGATCTGTGACATTGTCAGTTGTTCAGTGTCAATTGCTAATTCTATTTATTCTCTTTTTCAGGTTATGCATGTGGCAAACACTGCAGTTTGGAACTAGCTAGCAGGTATTTGTTGTTAAAACATTTCCAGCAGACACATGCACATTTAAGGGGCAGTTAAACTGTAAAAACATTTTATGTTCATCTTTGATATAATCCTAATGTGTTTCTTTCTTGTTATTCTTTCACCTTGTTTCTGCTCTAGATTAAAAGGTGTTCCATAACGGCAGGTCGGGCGCTTCTGCGCATCATCTTTGCCGACCAGTCTGACTCTAGAAAACTGACCCTGGATTCGGGAATCCCAGCAACAGTTGAAGAACTGCACACATTTGTCAAGACATCTCTTCAATTGAAAGAGGACTTCCGTCTGCAATACATGGATGTTGACTTTAACGAGTTCATGAATCTTACATCAGTGTCTGAAATTCAGGATAAAAGCACACTGAAAGTAATTTACTCTCCTATATTGTCAAATATTGAGCCCTCCATCACTTAGTACACAGTTGACTCATTTGATAAGACCTCAATTACTGGAAGCTCAGAGTCTCTAATCCCTGCATCATCAATAGCCTCATGCTGCAGTGATGATATGGTGTATACGTCAACCCCGCATCCATCCCCTGAAGCTCAGGCCTCACAATTGTTATCCTGGCCCACAGTTTTTGTGGTTCCTAAGCTCACCTACGAGGCTGAATTTGAGCTTCATCTACAGAATGCAGAGTTTGAGACAACTGGTACATACTTCCAGCCTGGCCTAAAGCTGAAAGGAGTCATTCTTGATGGCCTAGCCCAAGAAATGATCAAATTCACAAAATATCCAAAAGACTATCAGTGTGAAGAGGTAGCTGCAGCGTTGACGAGGGCCCACCCTTGTTTGGGGCAGCTAGGATCCAAGATAGGATTTGGGGGGTGGAAACAGTCTCTTAAGTACAAAATGCAAAACTATCGTACAAAGCTTGGCCGTCTTGGACATCCTGAAATCCTTGTGAACTCCTTAAAGCACAAGAAAACAGGCCAAGGCAAAGCTGCAGCAAACATAAAAAAAAACAAGAAAAGCTGAAATAAACTACATTCCTCTGCACCCAAAAGGCGAAACCACAGAAAGCTTGGAGAACGAGAGAATTGCCTTATTGTCAGAACTGAAAAAAGCGTGACAATGAAGTGGTGATAAAAGCAAAAATGGAAAAAACCTTCTCTCACAGACGCCTTGAGATTGTGGAGCAAAGGCCTTTGATAGGGGACTTCAAATGCAGATGGCCTGCTCTGTTTCAGCAGAGTGAAGTAAGTAAATATTTGTATTTGTTGACAGTCTTTTATTATTATCCTTTGTGATTCATGTCTACATCCTTGCATGGTTGTGATTCTAATAAACAAGTAACAATTGGTTGTATTGTGCTTGTTAATAATATTTTTAAGGTGAATGCGGAGTTTTTGAGGATCACAACATCACCACTTCAATCAAAGTTCATGTGGCAGCTGGACCACTTCTCAGACAAGCTCTTGAAGATCTTCAAGATCAAAGGAGGACTAAAGGGCCACAAAATCAAGGAAGCCCTTGCAATATCAGATTTGGTTAGTATAAATGCAGAGAACCTCGTTTTTCACTGTATTGTTTTTGTCCATGCTCATATGAACACATTTAAGAAATTGTCTGCTTTTATAGTGTTTTTAAGGCAATAGCTTATTGTGGAAATGTAGGGGTAAGGAGTCCTGCTTAGGGAAACACACGACAGATACAGCCCTCTACTTTGTAGACCTGCTCTGTTGCACATGCATTGTGCTTAATTGTCTTTGATTTATCGCCCCTGCTTTAGTTTGAAAACATCCACATCAAGAGGGGGTGCATCCTGCGAAGCATCGCGATCTACCTCAACGAGGATCCAGACTCTTTTTTAAGGAGTATCAGGTATGTTTATCACAATATGTTTTCAATGTAGTGGTTAACAGTGTTACCCACAATTATAACCACCATTACTTACATTTATAAGAAGAAAATTCTATGGCACACAACCCTATCCCTGCTTACATCTAAATATCTTATCACATATCATAAATACATGCAGAAATAAATAAATGTATACATTAATATAGGAATGAATATATGTAAGAATGAATAAATACAGAAATAAAAAAATAATAATAAATAGATACAGAAGTAATTTCATCGGGCAAGTGTTAAAATAAATATAGAAAAAAGTGAATTAATACATTTATACAGATATAAATACATCTATAAATTAACATAGGAATACAATTGATAAATACAAATGTGAATTAAAACATGAATATATCTGGAAATAAATACAAATAATAAATGAATGCTGAAATAAATATTTACATTTATATATAAATACATCTATAAATGAATAAATAAATATGGACATGAATACATATGTAAGAACTTATAAATAATTGAATAAATACATAAATAAAATAATAAATAAATGCTGAAATACAGAAATATATTAATCAATAGATTCATGTTTAAAAAGGTATGTGAATGCAGCAATTACTAAATTGTTAAAGGAATAATTACATAATCACATAAATCAAGGAAATACATTATTAAATAATAAATAATCAAATACATATCAAAATAAGTAGGTAAATGCATAATTAACTACAGGAATAACAACAAATTACATGATTAAGTAGGGATGTAAACAAATAACTTAATACCTGAATTAATAAATAAGATAAAGTTGATAATCAAACAGAACATACAGGAATATATCTTTATAATTTATTTATGTAAACATTTTCTTACAAGCTTAATTTAGTTCTGTGTTGGAGGTCCTAACCTTAGCCCTCTGGTATCACTCAGGACATTTTTGTCCAAATTGGTAATTTTTCACATCAGATTTGGCTATAATGATTTTGTGTTTTTTCTAGATACTTTTTGGAATTTCAATTTTTCTAATCGGTCTCGAATACACTGTGTACAAATTACCCTAATTGTCCATTTAAAAAATGTTCCCACACTTCCCAAAAAGTGTGGGGGAAAAATATTTAAATATAATATTGTTATCATATCATTTTATCATTCAAGTTTTTGAAAGTGGACATTTTTATCCTGAGTGGCCAGATTGGGTAGTACATTTGAGTGATACCAGAGGGTTAGTCTAAAACTGTTTTGATCAATGAGGAGAGCCACATAAGTAAATCTGCTTCTATAAAATGTAGTAATTCAGGTTTTAGTTAACACATGTGTTGTATGCTTGTGTCTTTGTTCAGGCCACTGCCTCTGAAGATGCCAAGAGGGACATGGCAAACACAGTCATGGGCATATACACACTTCAAAGAGATGTGGATGGGCAGCAAGAGGACGTGGGAATTGTCATCGAAGGCAATATAGTCATGGACAACTTGGGCAGCGTGATTGTGGGGTTTGTCCCTATTGGGACTTATTTATGCCCTGGATTTGAGCTTTCCGGACAACCTCAAACACACCTTCGAGTTCATGCAGAAGGTAGTGATGAATCTGGATGGGCACAAGCTGAATGGTAAAATCGAAAGTCTGAAGATCAAGTTGTTCGATTGAAATGTGAAAAAGAAGTGACTCATGAGTTCATTGTTGTCATTTTATTCACGAGTTTCCTAATCAGAGCAGATTGAGCCGTTATATCAATCATTTGTGCTTTTTTGTATTTGTTTGTTTCAACACACTGTAACACTATTTCCATATGTTGGTGTTTGCAGTGCACTCTTCATGTTATGTGTTATTGTCCTGTTAGAAGAGCAGTGCATACCCCTGTTATATTGTATTCATTGTATTTGGCAAAGGGAGATTTGTAAGTTAATTATAGGAGTTCCATTTCTCTGCCATTTTAAAAATGGTATTATCTTTCAGAAATGTTTTTCATCTTTCAGTGTGAATTCATTCATTTTAAAACACTATTGAATGGAGGATTGTTTTGAATAATGTGAATTTAAAAATAAAAAAAACTAAACCATGTTTTCTATCATGTGTAACACATTTTTATTAAATTATATTTAACCTCATTATTTCATTTTCAATTAATTAAATAGGATTTAGGTGGACTAGCATTATCTAAATTCATAAAGGTAATGTTATCATTTTACTTAAACTCTATTTGAAAAATTTGAGTTGGACTAACTCATTTACATTATACTGCATGGATGCCATTAGTTTGAGCCACATATATTTATTGGATGGAAAACCTGCCAACAATAAAATTGAGTTAATCCAATGAGTTATTTCTTTGAGTGTACCGTTTGACAGAGAGCAACAAGCAGGTGGTATAATGTTTGAGACCCTATCTCCACCATACAGGGATAAAAGCTCAAAAAATGCCATTTAGGAGTATCCCATCTACTACTCCTAGGAAAAAGAAAAAAAAAACATTGTTAGACATGATATTCAGGAAAAAGGAATGTTGGAAATAAATAATGTCAAATATTGAAAATCCTTAAACTGGATCAACAAACCATGTTAATAAACCCTGCTAATAGGAAGCTAAAACATGCAGGAGAAATAGCAGTAGCTCTGGCAAAGAGAATAGGTCCTAGCATGCAATAACAGTGTGATAATATGATAAGGACTATAAACTGTCAGAAGACAATGTGGTGATCAGATGACCCACAAATACCGGTTGTTTTGAATGTACTTTTAAAAAAAAACCTATGTGGGAACTATCAGCAGATAATCAAGCCCCAAAAATATCTTCAAAACTAATATGAGAAAGTTTTTGCGAAGCTAAAGCTCAAATACTTTACCAAAATCAACTAAACTATTTACTTTTGACCCCTGTTTGGGAATGGGATTTTCCGTTACACAACGGAAAACTCAATTCAAGCCTTAAAGAACGCTTTAAAGACAAGTCAATGAGAGTTAAATGTGGTGCTATTTTGCTCATGAATGGAGCTTGCACTTTTGGAAAAAAAGTCTCCTCTTTTCTCTGCTCCCGAGGTGCTGCAGAAACACGCAGCACACAGGGTCAAAGACAGGCGTGACCTCTGGAGGGGAAGAAAATTTGAGCAGACCACGAAAGACCATTAAAAGTTTTATGGCCTCAGCACAGAGGAAGATCTGGAGATTTTAAGGAACTCTCCCAAAGCATCCCCCACCCCAGCACAAGGGAAATAGTGTTCCTCTCACCAATGAATAAATCAACTCTTAACCAAGTCGGATCTAAAATAGACATAGCTCCAGTTGTTAAGAAAAGAGGGAGATTCAAAAAATTATCTTAACACCAGAACAATAATATCAAATATCAAAAACCAAAATAGTATGTTGAGACCAATTCTCAGAAACTAACAGTGTGGAGATAAGGAACCAGGGTGATAGAAAATCTGTGTTATTCATGTCTATGACTTGATCAGGAACAGAGGAAAAATTATCACCTGAAGAGAAGCATCTTGCACTTGCATTCAGATTTTATCCAGCCCTGAGGGAAATGTCTCAAGGTACCAAAATGTGCATATACACTCTTTATTTTTCAATATCTGAAGCTACTAAACAAACTGTTCAGGGAGCAAAAACAATGATGAGTAGATGAAGAAAATGGAAGATGATAATGTCTGATCCAGATGTGGGGTGCAAAGGACCTCAGGAAGTAAGCCACAAAGGGAAACATTGAAACCCTTACAGAAAACCGCTCCTCCACAGATAACACTGTTTACAGATCGGAGTTTGCGAAAAGGTGACCAAGCAGCCACTTGGGCCTTTATAATGAAAACTAATTCAGGTGAAGTACTTTGCAAGCAAAAGGGTGCAATACCAGGTACAGCCTGCTGAGGAAAAGGCTATTTGTTGAGGGACTTCCTTTTGCTAAAAAAGGAAAAATAGCACACATCCGTATTATTACTGATAGTGATTATTATTAAAAAGCGGGTAAAGAAGAGCTTAATAATTGGAAACAAAGGCAGTTCAAAAATGTGAAAGGTGAAGCGCTGACACCCCATCTATTGAGGGTCTTATTGCAGAGTTAAAGGCAGGCATGTAGAATGGAATCATGTCCGTGGCCATACAGATAAGATACCATTTAACTATCAGGGTAATAGAGAAGTTTTACCTTGCTTGAAGCACGGGACGAGTTAACCACCGGACTGCCATATTCCCTAGAATATGGAAAAAGGGTG